GGTGCCCGGAGGGTGCGCGGCCTCCCGAGCAGGCCTCGTCCAGGCCCAGGGTCCTGTTCCTGCTCCGGCTTCTCAATAAAGTTTATTCAAAAAACCAAGGGCGGGGGGGGAGAGAGAGCAGAGGCGGGGCCGGCGGCCATTTTAGGAGAGGCGCGGAGGGCCGGGGAGACATCTTGAGCGTGGCGGGAGGGGGAGGGAGGAAGATGGCGGCGTCTTGAAGGGGGCCGAGCGGCCATCTTGGGGAGGCACGGGCGTGGGGCGCCCGGGAAGCCATCTTGAGCGTGGCGGGGAAAGGCGGGAGGGGAGATGGCGCCGCCATGTGGGAGGCCGAGGCGAGAACGGAGGCGCGGCTGGCGGCCATCTTAGGGGAGGCACGGGCGTGGGGCGCCCGGGAAGCCAATTTGAGCGTGGAAGGGAAGATGGCGTCGCCATGTGGGAGGTTAAGGCAGCCATCTTGGGGAGGGATTAAGGGCCACCGCCAGAGATAGGGAGGGGGAAACTCTTTTTAAAAACGTTTATAGGTTGCAAGCATTGCTTCTATTTCCACAACACTAGCCCCACCGCCATCTTGGAGGTGGAATAACAAAACAAAAATACCTTGATGGGGGGGGGGCACAGAGGACCGTGTCCTTCCCGTGGCACTCTAGCCCTTCCTGACTCTATGGTGGGACTTCCTGGCCGCCATGTTGATTGCTGACAACCGCCAAGGCGACGTCCGGGGAAACCAGGCGGGCCGCCATGTTGAGTGTGGGACAGGCTTGAGGGTTGCGCCGCTGGATGCAGCTGGTTGCTCATGCCTCCGTGGGAAGCTCCCAAATAGTTCAACCCGATTAAAAGGGACCGCGTTAGAGCCTCCTACCTGGTTAATGGAGCTGCGGTGGCTCAAGGGGTTAAGACGCTGAACTGCAGGCTGTGGAAAGTCAGTAGTTCAGCAGTTCGAGACCCGAGTGTGTGTACCGCATGACGGAGTGAGCTCCCGTCTCTAGTTCCAGCTCCTGCCAACCTAGCAGTTCGAAAGCAAGAAATTGCAAGTAGATAAATAGGGACCACTTCGGTGGGAAGGGAACAGCGTTCCGTGCGCCTTGGTGTTTAGTCATGCCGGCCACATGACCACGGAAACGTCTTCGGACAGCGCTGGCTCTTCGGCTTTGAAACGGAGATGAGCACCGCAACCCTAGAGTTGGATTCGACTGGCTTTCGAGCAAGGGAAGCTTTACCTTTTACGTTTACCTGGTTACTATCTCTCCCCACCCCCGGAAACCTCAGAATTGCCTTTACTCCCATTTGGCTTCAAACCGTGCCAACAGCTGTGCCAGCCTTTGCAGAGCTTCAATTCCAGGGCATCCCAGCACACTACGTTTTTACCCTGCCCTCTCGATATGGAGGCCAGGACCAAATTCCTCACCCCGCTTTTAATGGGCTGGATTTTCCCCCCCTTCCGACTCAGAGAACGTGCTTTTCCTTCTCTCAGATGCTGATCCATTTGTCTCCTACAGAGTAGGACGAAATTAAGAGTCCAGTGGCTCCTTTAAGACCACCAAAGGTTTATTCAAAGTGCACTTGCACACTAAAGTTGGAAAAAAAATATTTGAAAAAGTGTGTGCAATATACTGGGTTCAGGCGGGTTCAAGTGATCAGCTCACGGTTTCTTAGTGATTCAGCAAGAGAAAGAAGACTGGCAATCCCTGGCCCAAAACCTGGTATTTATGCCTGGAAAAGGTGACACCCAAAACACATCCCACTCCCAAGGATAGTACACTCCACTGCCTCCCAGTTGGTTTTCTCTAGGATCCCCGTCTCCCTCCTGGTCCATTCTAGGATCCTAGCAAGCCATTGTTATGTATCCTAAGCAAAGTCCTTTGACAAGTACAGTACAGGCTCAATACAGAACAGTGTGCCTGCACACAAAAGCTTATACCTTGAATAACCCTTTGTAGGTGCCCCGGGACACTAAATTTGTTCTACTGCGTCAGACCAACACAGCTGACCACCTGGAACTATGGAACTATCTCCTATCGAGTGTCATTCTTTGCTTTAGCAGCCAAGAAAATACTGGCTGGAGCGACATCTAAAGAGGGCAATGCTGTTTTATTTGATTAGTACTTTTCGGCTGGAGTGTTTTAATGCTGATGTTTGTAACTATGTTGTGTGTGTCAAGATTGTAAACGGCCTTTGGCGGTAGGTGATGTGAAAGGCCTCTTCTGACCGAGACCCTGGAGAGCTCCTGCCAGTCTGAGTAGACAGTGCTGACTTTGACGGACCAGTGGTTTGATTCAGTGTAAGGCAGTTTCGTGTTCGTTCATCTATGAAACACTGCCTTAGAGGAGGGGCCATAGCTTCAGTGGTAGGACATCTGGCTGGCACGCAGAAGGTCCCCGGTGTAGTCCCTGGCATCTCCGGTTAAAAGGACCAGGCAGTAGGTGATGTGAAAGACTTTTGCATTGTATAGCCTTTGTGACTCTATCTTTGTTACAGGCTGGTGCTTGACTTTTAGTTGCCCCGAGTTGTGTGAGAGGACGGCCATCGGGCTGTTCCCAAAAGAAGAGTCTTCTTTTTCATACTTGTAAGCCGCTCTTAAAGGAGCTGCGGTGGCTCAAGTGGTTAAGACGCTGAACTGCAGGCTGTGAAAGGTCAGTAGTTGGTAGGACATCTGGCTGGCACGCAGAAGGTCCCCGGTGTCGTCCCTGGCATCTCCGGTTAAAAGGACCAGGCAGTAGGTGATGTGAAAGACTTTTGCATTGTATAGCCTTTGTGACTCTATCTTTGTTACAGGCTGGTGCTTGACTTTTAGTTGCCCCGAGTTGTGTGAGAGGACGGCCATCGGGCTGTTCCCAAAAGAAGTCTTCTTTTTCATACTTGTAAGCAATGTTCCCTCTAAGCTGTGGAGTCTTGTGAGCAAAAATTATAATTTGTGAGCTACGGGCCTTAAAGTTGTGAGCGAGCGGTTTGGGGACTGCATAAATCAGTTTGCTTGGGAGCCGTCCTTCCTGAGCTAAGACAAAAATCTGTGAGCTGGAGGCTAAAAAACTGAGCTAGCTCACACTAACTCAGCTTAGAGGGAACACTGCTTGTAAGCTGCTCTTATCTAGGAAGCCTAATGAATTTTCTCTCTCCACTAAATGCCAGGTACGAGATGGCCTGGCTCATCCTAGTGTTTGGGATAGCTTAATGATTTCTTGACTGCAGCCAGCAGTTAGGGTATAAGATGCTTAGTTTTAGCTACCCATCAATTCTCGAGGTCTGGCTAAGGTTTGCTGTGTGCATTCGAGACCCGACGGAGGGGAGCTTAGCCCGCAGTTTTTCTACAAAAAAAGCCCTGCTGCTTATTAAAATCTCATTAGCAAACCTGCATCTTGCATATACTTTTCCTTGGGATTTCTGCGAACCTGGAGCTCCGGGCCAGGGCCTCAAACATGCATGTGACCCTGGAGTGCCGCTACCACTCTGAGTAGACAATAGTGACTTTGATGGACCTAGGGTGTGATTCAGTATAAGGTAGTTTCACATTCGGGTAAAAGAAACATCAGACTTAGTTTTACTAAAAGAATAGACTTTATTAAGCACTGTAAGTCTCTCTCCATCATCAACAGATGAACGCTGCGCCCAGATTCCACCAGCAAAAAAAAAAAAAAACATTCCCAAAAGACACCCAAGCTTTCTGATCGCAACCCTACTGCGACTTCCCCCTGATTTAGAGCAACCTGTCCGAACTTACACTGATTAAAAAAAAAACAACCAACCCCAACAACCTATGGAGTTTATTGTGGGGTGCAGGGTTTGGGGAGATGGGGATTTGATTATCAAGGTTGGGGGTGGGGGGTAGTAAAGATAACATTTATCCATCCACTAAGAACAGGTGTTAATAGCATTTTTTTTTTTTAAAAAAAACCCATTTTGAAAAGGGGGAGGGAAACAGTGTATCGCCGTTTTCCCTTCCTAAAGGAAGCATGAACTTGCAATCGACAGGGATTCACTAACAAGAAAAATGAGATTTACTCTGTTCGGCAAAAGATTTCCCCCCCCTTTAAAGCTAAAATCTTAGGCTAAACATTTTAAAGGGGGCGTGGGGGTATATATATATATTGATAGATATATGATAAAATGCAACTTGAGGGTTACTTGAGGAAGGTGTGTGAGGGGAAAGATTGGCTTAAAATAACAACTGAGATTGGAGGTTTTACTTTGAAAAATCTTACTAGGCATTTAGTTACTATCAACGAAGCATCTACCAAAATACAAGCGCAATGGTTATAGTCAGAAAAGTTACATCCCATCTGAGTGTGTAATATTATAGACAGGTAAGGTGCGTTTGGAAGGGAAGGGGGGTGGTCTTCCAAAATTGTAGAGGGGGAAAAAAATCTAATCTTAAAAATAACTAGAAAATTAGCAACAATATCTGACTTCAAGCAATGAGCGGTAACTAGCAATTAAAGACAGAAAATTTCCTAACAGATTGTTTTGAATAGGGTAAACAAATTTAAAAAGGACTTAAAAAAAAGAAATCACAAGACAGACCAGAATTCTTTTTTTTTTTTTAAGGTGGGGATGGGTCAAAAAGATGGGGGGGGGGAGAAATAGAACATGCATATTTACCAAAAACACACGTCAGGTACATTAGCTACTATAATGATTCAACCTCAGCAGTAAAAA